TGAAGAACGTAAACACACAAATACTTTTAACGTTTTAAGACTTATTCAATTGGTATGATAGCTGTTTATCATCAGGCGGGCCGTATGTTTGTCTGCAAGAGCTTACTTTTAATTATTTAGCATATCTGACATACTGTTGACTTGTTTTGATTTAGCAACGCGTTGTCTATATACTGCGAACACTCGATCTGAGATCCATGTTTAATAATGGAGTAGGCACAATATCTGCATTATGAAATTAATATAATTTTTTTAAAGGATTATAATTTTTTTTTTATACAACGTAGAATGGCAAACAATCTTACGGCCCACCTGGTGGATATATATATATATATATATATATATATATATATATATATATATATATATATATATATATATATATATATATATATATATATATATATATATATATATATATTCTTTATTGCACTTGTAAATTACATTGTTAATCTTACTTATCTCTGACAGAGATCTCTTCCAGTCAAACCAATGCAGTTAGAAAGCACGTTGTTAGCGGGCAGCTGAAGTGCTAAAGTACATAAACAAATATACAGTTAAATAAAACAATATATATATATTATAGAATTATATTCTGTAAGAAAACCATATCCAAAACATTATTTTCGTAATCATCGATCTGGTGGGCCGTGATTAATGAAGTGCGACGTAGCTTAGCGGAAGGTAAATTGTTTGCCCATATAATTAGTGGATCCACAAATATGCCTGTTAATGGAATAGATAATGAAATAAATGTTTTGCTAATGAAAAGTTTGCTCGCGATAATGACATAAGGGTAAACAAGCTAAAGTGGCAATAGCCTGGTCACAAGAAACAAAAAAACGAAGACTGGACAACCGATGGGGGGAAAGGTTCTTGTAATGACAACCATTCCACTAAATGGAGTGACGACCTCAAATGGATGCAGAGGTAGCTCGAGGTCGTTCTTTGCGGAATAGTAACCCCGCCTGAGCTATCGATATACGCTGGCGGAGCACCAGTGAGGGACGAGAGATGATGAAAGCAAGTCAGTTAGCCCATCGACGAATTCCGCTAGAATTAACCAAGATATGTTTCCAGGAGGAATCGCGTGGAGGACGACTTGATAGCTACTGCTGGCAATGGGTCAGTTAGACCCCATTACTAACAATCCCTTTCCCCTCTTCCAAATTGATTTACAACTGATAGAATTATGTGGTAACGAACATACGAGTAAAAAAAAATCCAACGGAACTAAAAACCTTCTTCATTTTGAAGACAGTTGAATATACGCAATGAATATTTATTTATTTATTACATCCACTGGGTGAGCCTTACAGTCTTCCAATAAGCTCACCCAGGAAAGCATGAGTACAATAACATATAAAAAAGGAATATTACACATTGATAACAAGAATAATATAAAAAGATTTAACTCATACAAAAAACGTGTGAACACAAATACTCTGTGGTTACCCGACGAAACTCCAGCAAGTTGGAGGCAAATACATCCAATTGCGGATACTGGCTCAAAATGTCATTGAGTAGTTTCAATTCAAAAGAAATCGTATTCGTGTTTCAACCGTGAAGCAGTTGTGTTTGCATGGCTGTGTTTCGGTATGAAGGGTGGGATATAGCGTGAATTTACAGGGTACAGAAGAATAACACCTGAGTCCTCAGGAATGGCAACGCATGGGGGGTATCATGGGCGAAACAGTATGCTCTGTTATGCCTATGGTACTGCTCATGTCTATAAGCGACGGTTACCACTTTCCATCAGGTGGGCTGTCAGCTTGTTTGCCATTCTAAGTTGTATAAAAAAGAAATAACAAGAATAATATAATAAGATTTAACTCAAACAAAAAACGTGTGAACACAAATACTCTGTGGTCACTCGACGAGACTCCAGCAAGTTGGAGGCAAATACACCCAATTGCGGATACTGGCTCAAAATATCATTGAGTAGTTTCAATGCAAGAGACAGGGGAGCTTGCTTAGCCAACTCTGTTCTTCGTAATGGAAAATATTAAACTCAAATATGCATAGGGGATTCAAACAATTTTATAGCAATAAAATTGCCTCTCGTATAAACGTCGAACCGTCGACATATCCCTTTTCATTGGTTGAAATAACTTTTACGCGATCTTTTATTTCTATTCTATGTGGTTTCAATTCAAATTGGAATTTAGGTCCTCGTCAAATCCAGATGGCGGGGGTGGAGTGTTAGGCTTTATGAGTTTTTCTTGAGTATTGTTTATTCATTTACTAGTTTTCAACCGTGACTTTTGCCGTGTATAAGAAGTAGTCTATATTCTTCTTTATACATAGTTAATTAAAAAAAAATTAAAATCTTTCGCGGTGTTTACACATATTTTAAATACACTATCGGTACTTAGCGCGATGAAAAATTTTAAAAGCAAATAGTACCTTCATACCTGCATCTTTAGTTCTGGTGCAATTCACGTCGAATCGTCGGCAATAAAGAAGCAGGTATGTAGGTATTATTTACGTAGCAGGGGGAGACTTTGTACAAAAGTTATTTGCTTGGACACCTCTGTCCCGTTCGTGTTTCTGCCGTGAAGCAGTTGTGTTTGCATGACTGTGTTTCGGTTTGAAGGGTGGGATATGGCAGTGAATTTACAGGGTACAGAGGAATAACACCTTACTCCTCTGGAATGGCAACGCAGGGAAATATCATTAGTGAAACAGTATACTCTGTTATGTCCATGATACTGTTCATGTCTTTAAACGACGGTTATCGCTTTCTATTAGGTGGGCCGTCAGCTTGTTTGCCAATCTAAAATGCATAAAAAAATCCTACCTACCTACTATCTAATTTAACTAACTAATTTGAGTAACACTTTCTTTTTGAAGTCAGTTAATAATAAAAAAGAATTATAATGAGACAATTGAAAAAGAATCATAAAAATTGTATTCATTAATAGTTTTTTTTTTTTTTTTGTAATACTTAGAATGACTAACAAGCAATGGCGAACTTATCTCTAAAAGAGATTTCTTCCAGTCAACCTAACACAGTGGCATAGGGGGGAAAGGGATTGTTAGCAATGGAGTTTGACATTCGTGTTTCTACCGTGAAGCAGTTGTGTTTGCATGGCTGTGTTTCGGTTTGAAGGGTGGGATATGCCGTGAATTTACTGGGTACAGAGGAATAACACCTGAATCCTCAGGAATGGCAACGCATGGGGGGTATCATGGGCGAAACAGTATACTCTGTTAAGTGCATTGTACTGCTCATGTCTATAGGCGACGGTAACCACTTTCCATCAGGTGGGCCGTCAGCTTGTTTGTCATTCTAAGTTGTATAAAAAAAAAATTCCTAGCAATATGCCTTATTAGGTCGACCTCCACGTGGTTCCCCCTGGAAACCATCGTGAACAATTCTTGTTGAATTCGTCACGATGGGCCAACTGACCTGCTTCATCCTCACCTATCATTCTTCACTGGTGCCCCGCCGGTGTATACCGATAGCGCGGGTGGGGTTACCATTCCATTATCATCCGTTAAAAAAAAACACAGTGGCATAGGAAATGGTGACTATTTCTAATGCTCGATATACTCTTAATACATGAAAAGGAATAAAAGAAACTGTAACATCAGATAAAGTATTTTTTTATGAGTGAAAATGTTATGGTAACCCCGCCTGCGCTGACGGGATACGCTGGCGGAGCACCAGTGAAGGGTGATAGATGAGAATGGAAACAGGCCAGTTAGCCCATCATGATGAATTCATCAGGAATTAACCATGACAGTTTCCAGGGGGAACCGCGAGGAGGTCGACCTGGTTGGGTATATTGCTAGCAATGGGATTCTCAGTCCCCATTACTAACAATCCCTTTCCCCCCTCAGATAAAGTATTAGAGGCAGTGGTAATAGTCAACTATTGCTGTTACTATATTAGTCGAATAACCATTTAAAGTCGGTTTAGAGTATAACCAGTAAAAATATTTTTTTTTTTTTTTTTTTTTTTTTTTTTTTTTTTTTTTTTTTTTTTTTTTTTTATAGAACTTAGAATGGCAAACAAGCTGACGGCCCACCTGATGGAAAGTGGTATCCGTCGCCTATAGACATGAGCAGTACCATGGACATAACAGAGTATACTGTTTCGCCCATGATACCCCCCATGCGTTGCCATTCCTGAGGACTCAGGTGTTATTCCTCTGTACCCAGTAAATTCACGCCATATCCCACCCTTCAAACCGAAACACAGCCATGCAAACACAACTGCTTCACGGTTGAAACACGAATGGGACAGAGGTACCCAAGCAATCGACTTTTGTACAAAGTCTCCCTCTGGTAAAATATAATATCGGTTTATTTTATTTAAGAAAAGAGTATATTTGTTATAAAACTTTACTATACGATCATACCTAGGATACGCCAGTTACCATTAAAATACATTTTACGACGTCTAAATACGATACTAGTAAAGTTATTTTGAAACTAGTTCAAAACGGGGGAAACTCTCGACTGGACTGTAATTTTTAAGTACGCGATATTTTTAGGTATAATATCTATCCGGTCCCGGTATGATATTTATGTATGATTCATCTCTTTCTTCCCCGTGGGTTTTGTAAAAGGCGACTAAGTATTTTAATGGTCGAGGGATGAGCAGCAGCATCCCTCTTAAAACTTCATCATCATCATCATCATTTCAGCCATTATCCGTCCACTGCTGGACATAGGCCTCCCCTACAGACTGCCATAAAGAACGGTCCTGAGCCACCTGCATCCGCTGACTCCCTGCAATGCATTTCAGGTCGTCACTCCATCTAATGGGGGGTCGTCCTACACTGCGTTTACCCGTACGTGGTCGCCACTCAAGAACTTTTCTTCCCCATCGGTTGTCGAGCTATGTGACCAGCCCTTTGCCACTTCAGCTTGCTTCTCCTTATGTTGCAGATGTTGTAGATGAATAGAATAGAAATAGAATAGAAATGGAATAGAAATGGAATAAAAATGGAATAAAAATGGAATAGAAATGTAATATAAATGGAACAGAAATGGAACAGAAATGGAACAGAAATGGAACAGAAATGGAACAGAAATGGAACAGAAATGGAACAGAAATGGAACAGAAATGGAACAGAAATGGAACAGAAATGGAACAGAAATGGAACAGAAATGGAACAGAAATGGAACAGAAATGGAACAGAAATGGAACAGAAATGGAACAGAAATGGAACAGAAATGGAACAGAAATGGAACAGAAATGGAACAGAAATGGAACAGAAATGGAACAGAAATGGAACAGAAATGGAACAGAAATGGAACAGAAATGGAACAGAAATGGAACAGAAATGGAACAGAAATGGAACAGAAATGGAATAGAAATGGAATAGAAATAGAATCGAAACAGAATAGAAATAGAATAAAAATAGAATAGAAATGGAATAGAAATGGAATAGAATGGGAATAGAATAGAAATGGGATAGAAATGGGATAGAAATAGAATAGATATAGAATAGAAATAGGATAGAAATAGGATAGAAATAGAATAGAAATAGAATAGAAATATAATAGAAATAGGATAGAAATAGAATAGAAATAGAATAGTAGAATAATAGGAGAGGAGGGAGACTTTGTACAAAAGTCGATTGCTTGGGTACCTCTGTCCCATTCGTGTTTTAACCGTGAAGAAATTGTGTTTGCATGGCTGTGTTTTGGTTTGAAGGGCGTGAATTTACTAGGTACAGAGGAATAACACCTGAGTTCTCAGGAATGGCAACGCATTGGGGGTATCATGGGCGAAACAGTATACTCTGTTATGTCCATGGTACTGCTCATGTTACGGCTCAGGCGACGGTTACCACTTTCCATCAGGTGGGCCGTCAGCTTGTTTGCCATTCCAAGTTTTATAAAAAAAAACTGTATCTTATTACTTTCCAGCACATAGTTTCTCAGTTGCCTAGTAACATAGTGATAAAAAGTAATTATTTAATTTATTTAAATCGATGAAAACCATCTCTTCGTCTCTTAGCGTATTTTATTCTTTCTAAGAACACTATATACCTATCATTTTAATATTTGGAAGTTTATGAATAAGGAAATATGGAATCATTAACAAGATTTTATTACAACGAAAATGAACACTGGCAATGATGATTCTATGTACTCCATTATTTCATTACGAATAACTCATAAACGTCATCAAATAAAATCCCTTAAAAAAGATGGCTCGTTCCTGGAATCATTTTTATCTAAATTTCCACGAACAATTTACCAATTTCCAGCTAGTACACAATATGCCGGCCGTTCTATCAGAAATCAATATTCTGTACTTGTTTCAGCAAAAATAGCAGACTCCTTGACCCTCATCTGGTATTGCAGTCTCAGACAATCTACGTAGGATACATTCTAAATTGAATTAAGAGCGTTCATAACTTTTCCTCACCGAAATGTGGTCAACATCTCAATTATCTGACAATTTTTAAAAACTTTATTAAACCTTTTTTAGTGTTTATAAATAATTATTAAAAAAAAAAAAACTCTGCTTATTATGGTAAAACGTAGACAAATCATTTATAAATCTGCCGCTAATTCTTCTTCCTTTTATTCTAAATTCTTTACTGTCCACGTAGTCGCCTGTGGCACTCACTAGCTGCCTCACTAGCTTCAAAACCTCTGTTAAGCCTTACTAACTCTCCTTTAGTACTATATTTTTGTGTTCTCTCTTCATCATAATAGTGCGCCACCTACATTTTGTCTGTTTTTTCAATGTCTTCTACCTAAAAAGTCTGGAAGAGATTGATTAGCGACAAGGCCGCCATTTTCTCTCATTAACATTTATTGTATTTATTATTTTTATAAATGGTGCATAAAAGTGTAAATATTTAAAGAAATAAACATTAATCGTAAAATACGCTGCATATACACTTGTATATAATCTAAGACTCGTATCTATCGGTAAAATTTTTACACCTACTTCATAATATGCTTCGAAATTTTTCAAATACATTTTTGCCATAAAAATCCAAATTTTCAGTGACAGCGTAATAAGAATATTATTACATAATGAACTTTTTAGTTTGCAAGCAGAATATTTTTTAATAACCAATTAGAAACATCGGTAATTTTTAATTTTTTTTTTAAATAATAATTGAGACGTTGCCGTACCTTGTTATGAATGAATGAATGAAAACTCTTTACTGTTTCCATCAAAGAATGATAAAATGTTTGTTAATTTTATTTGTAAACCGCTGTTGGTTTTTTAAAATAAATAAATAAATTATACAAAAACAAAATAAAATTATGAACGCCCTTAAGCTTATACAATTGCAAGATACAGCTTACTGGATTTACTATTTTATTAAAGAGATAGCGTACACTTTTATATTATAAATACAGCAACGATATTATGTATGGAAATCTGAAGAAAATTAATCTAACAAGTTTTAAATTTAATTACGAATTTATGAAAATAGAGATACAAATAATTCGGTAAAAAAAACATATTTGTAATACAAAAGAGAAAAAACATAATAACACATATGTTGGAGAGAGATAGATAAGTTGGCCATTCATTTAGATAACCATCTAAATATAAGCTCGAAAAGGATTTGGCAAGATTATGAACAAAATAAATTCTGTTTATTTTTACATTTTCAAGTGCGCTGTTCTTGAATATAAGGTAAATTATTTTAAAAATAAAACACAAAATTGTATATTTGTCACGTAATTTCATTTTAAATATTTATCTCTTTTAATGTAATACACGTATATCGCAAAAGAATTAGTAAACAAATATATGTAATTTAATCCAAATAATGTTTGAACATACACAAATTTGAATTAAAATTATAAATATGAGAATTTTTGCTATTTTTACAACTTTAATTCCGTATAAATTCAGAACTCAAACTTGCACACATTTACATTGCACGCACACTAGTGTAACTCTTTTCCAATTGTTTGTTGCTTATTGCTGTACCTCTTTCGAGGGCAAAGCGATGACGATGACGACGATGACGAAACTTTGTTATGATTATTTTGTGTTGCTATGGCACACACACAAAAGGGAAAACAATTGTTTTTTGTCTCACTTTTTGTGTATTACTATCTACGTCTGTTGTGATTTGTGAGTTGTAAGTGCAAAATAAAATATATTTATTTTATTTATTTATACTTTATTGCACCAAGTAAAAAGAGAAATAACAAATACAGTAAATATTAATGAGAAGTGATACAAAAGGCGGCCTTATCGCTAATCTTTTTTAAATAATCTTCCAGACAACCTTTGGGTAGAGGACATTGAGAAAAAGACAAAGGGTAGGTGGCGCACTATTATATAAATATTATCATATACAAACATATATACATTCATACATACATACACATACATATATATATACACAATTAAATATATACATAACATACACATACTTAACAGCACACATACAAAAAAAAAATGACGAAGGAAAACGAAGAGAGAACACAGGAAAATAGTACTAAAGTTAGAGGTAGTAAGATTTAATAGAGAGAATTTGTTTTATATATCTATTTATGAATGAATGAATGAGTATACTTTATTTGCATTATACAATATAGGAAATAAGCAAGACAATTAATAAACGTAACGGTACAGCTGTATAAGTACAGTAAGGCGGTGTTATAACTGAGAGCAGACTTTCATAACAACCTTAGGGCAATGGACTAATTATATATATACTATATTACATTATTTATCTTATCATGATTACATTTCCAGTATGTCAGAATGGGATTACGAATATATCTATGAAAAATATACACAGACAGGCGAAACAGTATACACTGTTATGTCCATGGTACTGCTCATGTCTATAGGCGACGGTTACCACTTTCCATCAGGTGGGCCGTCAGCTTGTTTGTCATTCTAAGTTGTATAAAAAAAAAGAGAGACAGAGTGACAATTTTCTTCTATAGCAACATCATTAGGGACAAGATTTATATTGCTATATTTTTCTATCTTACGTAGACTGTAGCGATAACGTATCTGTTCATTTGCCATTTATGTAGGGAGTCTTGTATTGTAGACGTACGTAGCGACGGTAACCGTTTACCGTCAGACCGTTTATATATCTGTTTCACACGTTTGTGCTATAAAGACTTTTTTTCGAATTTTTATTTAGACAGATAAACTCTTTATTTGAAACAAGAGATACACAAAAATTGTGATAATAGTAACATAAGAAATAAACAGCTTTAAAAAATTAATTAACGCTCTTTCCCATTCAGGATTTACTGGAAGAAAATTCTTACAGAATTAAGCTCGCCTATTATACATCTTTACTCAAAATAAATTATAGAAATGTAATTTTTGTATACGATAAAGTATAAATAAATATATAATAAATAAATAAATAAAGTTAATTAATTAACTACACAATTAATTATTTAATTACACAACAATTAATCAATTACCTAATTGGTAAATTAATCGTACATTTAATTAATTAATTGCATAATTATTTATTTACATCATTAATTAATTATTTAATCTTAAAAATTAGTAGAGAAAAATATTTTATTTTCTCTATTATTCCTTCTCTTACATACATATTTACTGATCTTTGTTCGCTTACTAGATTTTGGAACGACACAACACTGCATGTATTTGCAATTTAGTGTACAACGCACATCAGATACGCATCATCAAGTACAAGATGCTACATCACCGTTCCGCGGTTGGCAGTAATTAGCGACATGCCATATTGAAAGCATTCATATGTTTGACATGTTTGTTTATAACCGCCAACCGCTATTAATTGAACAAATATCAGGATATATTTGCTAGATGGAGTGAGAACTTTAAATGCATCGCCATCGACAGGGAGTTCACCCTCATACCCTACAGCCTCAATGGTCGCTGTGACGGTTCGCCTATAGTACAATAGGTTTAATACCATATAAGTACATAGAAAAGAAACAAGGGTTCCTATGGGTGACCACTGCGAAAGCTGAGCTATTTAATATAAACAAACTTTAAAGTCAAGGTTCACAATAGCGTACAGAGAAGACGTTACCATATATGAAATATTGACACAGAAGGGAAACTCCTTTGATGTGTTTCCAAAGTGTAGTGGATGTCACAAGAAAATTAAATAAATTAAACAAAAATATATTATATTTTATATATAACCAAATTATAGTTTACCTTTTTATCATCAGGTGTAAAAAAGATACATACAACACAGTTTAATAAGGTTTATGAGAGCCTTTAAAGTTTTATAAATTCGATAATCAATTTAATATAAAATATCAAAATACGTTAACATATAATTAAATTGAATTTAAAGAAAAGTTCAGTTCGAATAATAGGCTAAATCTGATTTTGAAATATCTACCCTTCGGTGACATAATC